CACTGTTGTATTTTTCCTTGAAAACTAGTGAACATCTACATGAATTTCCCGGCAGGGTTGACGTGGCACGAGACCTCTGTGACCCCAGAGCCCCTGACCCCAGCCCCCACGCTATCGCCCGTTCCCGGTCCTCTCGGTTCCGCAATTCCCCTTAAAGGCTGGGGCCCGGGCACAGGAACGACAAGCGTTGCAGCCAATGGCGTCGCGAACGCTAAACCTGGTACCCAATCAAAAGGCACGGCTGCGAGGGACCCGGGTGGGAACCACGCCTGACTCCAGGTGACTCCTTGGCAGAGAGGGGAGAGTGTCTCCGTCAGCTGATGGGCTCCCCCATCGGTCGGTTCATCGGTGCGAATTACCGGGGACCAAGCTGCGGGAGCGCGCGGGCAGCGGCCAGCCGCGGAATCCTTGTGTGCTGCTGTCTAGGAGAGTGATGGAGAAGCATCAAGAGGCTGGGAAGGAGAACAAGGTAAAGAAAGGATGCAAGGCCCCTCCCAACCTTCACCTCACAACATGATACCCAATGATGCCCAATCAGGGGTGTGTGTGTGTGTGTGTGTGTGTGTGTGCGCGCGCGCGCGCGCATGAGCAAGAAGGTGAGGCGCCTCAGTGGCACCTGCATAGGGACTGTTAAGATGCCAAAGGAAGCAGGGTTTACCTTTGCCTTTACAGATGGAAAGGGACCCGTCACTGTCACTCCTCACCTCCCCAGGACCGACTCATGCTGGCTTGATGGGGAAGAAAAGGAGGGAGGGGGGTTATCAGGGATTGGGAAGGGACTGGAGTACCCCTCTTTTCTCTAAGGTGGGGGGAATCTTGTTAAGCACTAATAGTTTCACTTGTGTATCTGTGTTCGTATAACCATATGACCATTCATTCTTATTCTCTCCTTTTAATTAGTCAACAAATAATTATTGAGCATCTCTGTACCAAGGATGGTTAGGGCCTGGGCACACAGAGGTGCACACTTATAGGGGTTGGAGGCATGTACATAGTGCGCTGTGGCTGAGGGATAAGGATGGAGCAGCTGTGGTCCATCCTTGATGTCCCATCTTTTTTCTCAAGCAGTTACTAAGTGGTGCAGGTCAAAGCAGAGATACTAACACAGCAGGAAGGAGACAGGGACTTGGGGGCCTACTACACCAATGAGCTAGACTGTATGTTGCAGTGGTGGGCATTTGGACAAAGGAAGAGCCTTCCCTGGGAGTGTCAGAAAAGCCAAGAAGTGATAAGTTTGGAGAGGTGAGAGGGGCTGAGAGAGACAAGTATATAACAGAAAATATATGCTTCAATGTTTATCTATGTTCATATTCATGGTTAAATTAGTTAATATATAACATGCTTAGAGCAGTGGCTGACATATAGAAAGAGCAAATATAAGTGTTAACTATTATATTATTGTTGTTGCTATTGTTATTGTTATTATTGTCATATGGGATGCTGTGTGCCCTGCACATTTGCTGGGCTATCAAACCTGATGGCTGCACCCCAGCCTTGTAGGTGCCAGATTTTCTGAAAGTCTACTGTTAGACTTTGTCCACTAGAGGAAATGAAAATAATAAATATGTAAGTAAAAATATAATAGAGGATAAAATGAAATAATATAAAATATTTTACTAATCTAAGAGAAGGCAAGAAAAAATAAAGGAACAAAAGATGGGACAGAGAAAACAAAATCCAAGATGGCACTTACTATATCAGTAATTACAATAATTATGAGTGCACCGAACACTCCAATTAAAAAACAAACATTTTCTGATTGGATTTTTAAAAAGAACATTCTATTCTGTTAAAAGAGACATACTTTAAATATAAGGACACAGAAAGTTTGAAAAAAATGGATGGAAATATATACCCCATGAACACACTAACCAAAAGAAAGCTGATATTGCTGCATTAACTTCAGACAGAGTGTACTGTAAGACAAAAAGTATTACTAGAAATAGAAGGACATTTTATGATGATTAAAGAATCAATCCAACAGGAAGATAAAACAGTCCTGAATTTATATGCACCTAATAACATAGTTTCAAAATATGCAAGGAAAAGAGTACAGAATAAAAGGAGAAATAGTCAGACTTACACACAGTTAGAGGTTTAACATAACTCTCTCAATAAAAGTTAGAACAAGCAGACAAGATAATTAGTAAGGATTTAGAAGATTTAAAGTAACATGATCAATCATCTTGATCTAATTGATTTATGTAAAGCTCTATACCAAACAACTGCAGAAAACACATTCTTTTCAAGTGCACATGAAACAAAATCCATTATGTGTTGGGCTATAAAGCAAATATCAACAAATTTTAAAAGATTAAAATTATATAGAATGTGATCTGACCCAGTAGAATTAACTGGGAATCAAAACAAAAAGATAACTAGATTCCAAAATGTTAGGAATTAAGCAACATGCTTCTAAATAATTCATAGGTCAAAGAATAAATCATAAAATAGGAAAAATTTTAAAGATACAATTTTGAAAAATGACATATCAAAATTCTGATGTGCAGCTAAAGCAGTGTCCAAGGGGAAATTTGTACCTCCAGATGCATGTTTTATAAAAGAAAGGTTGAAAAGTCAGTGATCTGAATTTCAATCTCAAAAAATAAATGAATAAATAAATTTCAATCTTAAGAAGATAAAGAGCAAATTAAACCCCAAGAAAGTAAAAGAAGGAAATAATAATAAATATAAGTATATAAATAGAGAAAATCAATAATGCCAAAAATAGCTTTTTTTAAATACTAATAAAACCTCTGGCAAGATGGACGAGAGAGAGAGAGTAGGAAAGAGACCAAGAGGGAGAAAGAGAGAAAATATTAATTACCTATAACTGGAATAATAAAGGGGACATCGCTAGAGATGCTCAGACATTAAACAGGTCATAAGAATATCTAAGAACAAGCTGATGCCAACAACTTAGAGAATTTAGCTGAAATGGACAAACTGCTTGAAAAATATAATTTATCAAACCTGAAACAAGAAGTAAAAATCTGAGAAGTCCTATCCCTATTATAGGAACTAAATCTGTAATTAAAATCTTTTCCAAAAATATCTCTCTGAGCACAGATAACTTCACATGTGAATTCTTTGAAGCAAGAACAGAAAATTAATATCATTCTTACATAAACCATTCCAAAAACAGAAATAGAGGACACAGTCTCAACTTATTTTAGGAGGATAACATAACCTTGATACAAAAAGCCGTCAAGAGGAGATGGATGATGGTGATGGTTGCACAACATTTTGAATATATTCAATACCACTGAACTGTACACTTAAAAATGGTTAAAATGGTAAGTTTCATGTTATGTATATTTTACCCCAAAAGAAAAAACCTGTCAAGAACATTACAGGAAAGGAAAAATACAGGTTAATAGCTCTTGTGAACATAGATACAAAAGTCACAAAATATTATCAAGTTAAATAAGCAATACATAAAAAGATGATACTTTTTGACGAAAGCTTTCTTCCAGGAATGCAAGGTGGTTTAACAATTGCAAATCGATCAATGAAATTCAGCACATACACAGAATAACAGGAAACTCTATGTGATATCTCATTAAAGGGAGAAAAAAAATGGATAAAAATCAACACTCATCAAACTAGGCATAGAAGGGAACTTCATTAATCTGACAAAATATCTGAAAACATCTTCAGGATATAATTTTGAATGCATTCCCTCTGAGACTGGGAACAAGCCAAGGATTTCCTTTATCACCATATCACCACTTCTACATTGTACTAGAAGTCCTAGCAAGTATATAAGGCAAGAAAAAATAAATAAAAGGTATAACTAAAGGAAGGGAAGGAAGAACTAAAACTTGTCATTATTTTAGATTATAGGATTGTATATGTAGGAAATCCAAAAGAATCTACAATTATTAAAGGTAGTACTTAAATTTAGCAAGTTCCCAGATACAAATTAAACAAATTATATGTTTCTCTATAGTAGCAACAATTAGAAAATGAAGCTTTAAAAATAGCAACAACAAAAAAAATCATTAAATACCTAGGAATAAATCTAACAAAAGATGTACAAAACCTCTATAGAGAAAACTGTAAGACATTACTGAGAAAAATTAAAGAACACTTAAATAATTGGAAAGATATTTATGTTCATGGATTGGAAGATTTAATATTGCAAAAATGTCCTTTCTACATTCATCTATAGAGTCAATATAATCTCAATCAAAATCCTAGCAGCTTTATTGGGGTGAACATTAACAAGCTAATTCTACAATTTAGATAGAAATGCAAAATGATTTTGAAAAAGTCATTTTATAATAGCCAAAATGATTTTGAAAAAGTTAATTCTATCTGATTTTAAGTTTGCCTATCAATTATGATAATCAAGACAGTATGATATCCAATGTATGGACATACAGATCAATGGAACAGAATAGAGAGCACAGAACTGATCATACTTATGAGGTCAACTGATTTTCTACCAAGGTGTACACCAAAGCAAATCGATAGTGAAAATATAGTCTTTAAAAAATAGCGCTAAAATAGCTGGCTTTATATGGCAAAAATGAATCACAGCCCAAACCTTACACTGTATACAAAATGAATTGAAAATGGATCATAGACCTAAATATAAAACCTAAAACTATTAATTTCTAGAAGAAGAAAAAAGAATGTCTTCATAACCTTGGGGTAGGCAAAAGTTTCTTCAAGTATACACAAAAATCCTTAATCATAAAAGAAAAGATTGATATATTGAGCTTATAAAATTACGAGCCATTAAGAGAGTAAAAGGCAACCCATAGATAGAGTTGATGATATTGGCAACACATAACACATATAACTGGCTTGTCTCCAGTGTGTATAAAGAATTCCTACAAATCAGTGAGAATAAGACAATCTGATTTCTAAAAGAGGAGGGGAAGGGAGGAGCAAAAGACTTGAATAGGCACTTTACAAAAGAAGATATCCACATGGCCAATAAAACGGTGTTCAACATCATTCCTCCCCAGAGAATACAAGTTAAGGCCACAATATGCTATTACTGTACTGCCATCAGTATGGCTAAAATTAAAAAGACTGACAGTTGTAAGTACTGGCAAGGATGTGGTGCAACTGGCACTTTCATACAATGCTGGTGGGAGTATTAATTAAGTACAATCACCTTGGAAAACTGTTTGGCATTATCTGTGGAAGCATTTTAAACACATACCTACCTTATGATCAAACAATTCTCATTCCCAACATAAATGAGTACTCAGGTCCCTCCAAGGACATATACAAGACTGTTCATGGCAGCTTTATTTAAACTCGAATAATCCAAATGAGCAAATGTAGAATGGATACATAAACTATGATATATTCACACTATGGAATACTAAACAGCAATGAAAAAGAACTGTACTCAACATAGGTGGATCTCACTAAAGAACACAGACAAAAAAGAGTATATATTGTAAAAAGTAAATAAAGAGAAAAAAAGTGTATATTGTATAATTGCATGTATACAAACTTCAAGACCTATGGTGACAGAAGTCAGAATAGAGGTCCCCAACATGTGCCAGGAGCTTGTGAGAGGAGAGAGTGAGGCCTCTTAGTGTGAGAGGTGGGCAATGCCTGAAGGTAGAGTGGCTTCTGAGCCTCTTCCTTCTCCTTAGTATCACTTAGCACAATGGTGTTCAATCAATGCTTGTTGATTGGCTGAATGAACTCGGAGCCTCACAGATCTTTGCACTTAGCGAAATACAAGTGCTTTGCCTACAAGCCAGTGCCTCTTGGCACTAAAAGTAGTGAATGGAATAGTCTCAGGAAGCCCTCAAAAAAGGTGGGAACTTCTCATCCACCTCACTTTTCCTCACCCCAGGAAAAGGGTTCCTGAGGTAAACCAGTGGGGGAAGAGGTGGGCAGGCAGCGGGGAAAGTGCATGGGGTTTGGAACCAAGAAACCCTGCCACAGCTGTGGGATCTCAGACTAGTTATGGGATCTCAGACTAGTTATTTCACCTCTTTTTTAGGGGTGAACTCTGCCTGCTTCAGAGGAGGGGAGCGGGGGAGACTGTTGTGGCCATTGTAAAGCCCTGAGCAGTGACCTATCAGGATCCCTCTGGGGACAGCTGGTGACCCTGGGGTATTAGGGAAGCAATGCTGCTGAGACGGGCTCTGCAGGGGGTCCAGAAGCCTGGGGCGAGGATGGGCTGATGGGCCCATGGGCCTCAGGGACCTCCCCTCCCCCGCAGCCCTCCGCCAGATCAGTGGACCTGCAGGGAGACAGCTCCTTACAGGTGGAGATCTCTGACGCAGTGAGTGAGCGGGACAAGGTGAAATTCACCGTTCAAACCAAGGTGAGGCTGCATGAAGAGCGAGGGGCGGTTCAGATGCAGAACCTCCTTCCCTCAGCCTCTGCTCCCCCGGGGCTGTGGTGACCAGATGCCATCACAGCCTTTGGGCCCTGTTCCTCAGCTTGGCTCCTGGCCCCTGCCCCTCTGAGAAAGTGGATGTCTTGCCTCGTCTCTGACTGCCTTTGCTGAGAGTCCCAAGTCCTAACCACTGCCCCCCATTCACTATTCTGACTGAATCATGGACACCTGAGCCCCAACTGCCTCATCAGAGGTTTGGGGTTGGGGAGGCCCAAAAGTGGGTGCCCAGGAAGCTCAATGCAGGGTTTGGGGAGGGGAGGGGAGGCACCTCAGACAGGCTTCCTGGCTTCCAGAGCTACCTCCCTCACTTCGCCCAGACCGAGTTCTCGGTGGTCCGGCAGCATGAGGAGTTCATCTGGCTCCATGACGCCTACGTGGAAAACGAGGAGTACGCCGGCCTCATCGTGAGGATGGGCCGGGTGGGCTGGGCTGCGAGGGGCAGGCCTGGGCGCTCGGGTGAGGACGGAGGGCAAGGCCAGACTTCCGGGTGTGGGTGATGGCTTCAGCAATGAGAGATCTCCCAGCTCGGTCCCCCCTTTGAGCAGATCCCCCCAGCACCTCCAAAGCCAGACTTTGAGGCTTCAAGGGAAAAGCTGCAGAAGTTGGGTGAGGGAGACAGCTCCGTCACTCGGGAAGAGTTTGCCAAAATGAAGCAGGAGCTAGAAGCGTGAGTGCCACCTTCTCTCCTTGTCTATGACAAAGCCCCAGCTCTCTTCTGGGAGGTCCAGGATTTCCCCGACTATCCCCTATGGATGATAAGGGACCCTGACTCCGACCCCAGGGCTGCTGAGGGGGCAGGGTGCTGGGCGGTCAGAACCAAGGATGGCCCTTGAGCTGCCTGCTGTCCTCTGCAGGGAGTACCTGGCTATCTTTAAGAAGACAGTTGCGATGCATGAAGTCTTTCTGCAGCGCCTGGCGGCCCACCCCACCCTGCGGCAAGACCACAATTTCTTTGTCTTTTTGGAATACAGCCAGGATGTGAGCTGGACCTGAGTGCGGAGGTTCCTCCTGGGGGTGGGGGACGGGGTTCTAGGTGGGCTCAAGCCTCCGTCTCTTAAGCTCTGTGAGCGGCATGTGCCTGGGGTGGGCAGTGCAGATGCCCACCCCGACATCACACCCTCCTGTGTGTCTCAGCTGAGTGTCCGAGGAAAGAACAGGAAGGAGCTCCTTGGAGGGTTTCTGAGGAACATCGTGAAGTCTGCAGATGAAGCCGTCATCACCGGCATGTCAGGGCTCAAGGTGACCTCTGGGACCCCACCGTGGATTCCACCCAGGGCCTCAAGTCTACAGAAAGATGGAGGCCCAGGGTGGCTGTGAGAGGGAAGCCCCTGGCAGGGCCTGGCCTAGAGGGAGATTGTGCCACCCCTGCTTGTCCATGGCTACCATGCTTCTAGTGACTTGGTGTAAGTGGGTCTTATCTTGCTCCCTTAGGAAGTGGATGACTTCTTTGAGCATGAGAGGACCTTCCTGCTGGAGTACCACACCCGCATCCGGGATGCCTGCCTGCGGGCAGACCGTGTCATGCACTCCCACAAGTGTACGCAGGGCCCAAGGGGCCCTGGCTTCCCTGTCCCCTCTGCCCAGCGGTCCTACTCCCCAGGGGAGAGGAGATGCCCTGTTTATAGCCACAAACACTAGAGGTGGGGCTCGACGTGCAGACTGATGAACTCTGATGGAGGGCTGTTCCCCAACAGGCCTGGCAGACGATTATATCCCTATTTCAGCTGCACTGAGCAGTCTGGGAACACAGGAAGTCAACCAGCTAAAAATGTGAGGACTCCCTCTGGCCCCTCCTACCCTTTCTCTATACCTGTAATACTGTGTCTGCCCACAAGGGGTCACTCTGTGGAAGCCTATCAGCTCTAGGTGGGAGATGCAGAGTACCTCTTGGGATTTGGAGAGGAAGAGGAGGGAGATTTCTCCAAGGATGGGCTAAAGGCAGGGAGGCTTTAAGCACCCACCTAAGGCCCCTGCCCTAACTCCTTCCCACTGTCTCCTAGAAGCTTCTTCAAATTGGCAGAGCTTTTTGAACGACTAAGGGTGAGTAATTACTTGTGTTGAAAGGCCACCCAATGATCGTCCTGGGAAAGGGTAAAGCTCCAGGATCATTTTGGAATATGTTCAGTGGTAACCGGGGCCCAACCCTGCCCTGGACTCACCCTTCAGATGAGTTCAGTAAGAGGTGGAGTGGAGATAGGGAGCCAGCCTCAAGTGTGCGTGTGATGGGGGAGGAGTGTGGGGACGAGGCTTGGCAAGACATTTACAAGGACGTGCCATGTGCCTCTGGCAGGCTGCACTGTGCTGCCAACATCCTGTCCCAGAACTGTTCTTTCTGAACTCTTCTCCAAGAAAGTCACTGGAGCGTGCCATTCTAAAATGCGTTGGAGTACATCTCTTCCCTGCTCAAGGCCCTTTAGTGACCCTGCCCCTTCCGGAAACTGCCCAAGACACAAAGCCCAAAGTCCTTAATTTGCATTTTAGGCCTTATGATCTGGCCATTGCTGTCCAAGTGCCCCCACTGGACTTCTGGTTCCCTCAACACATGAGGCTTGTGCACCTGCAAAGCCTGTCATCCAATTCCTACTCAACCCCCAAGATCCAAATCAGATACCACCTCCTCTTTGAAGCCTTCCCTGGCCTGCTCCCCTGAACATCAGGTTTGACCTAGAATGGTTATCAAGTGACTCCTAGATTTTTAGATGAGCAGCAGCCCCCAACCCTAAAGCTGCCCCTCAGCAAGCTCCCTCCCCAGCCTCCACCTTCCTGATTCAGAAGCTGGAGGGCCGAGTGGCCTCAGATGAGGACCTGAAGCTGTCAGATATGCTGAGATACTATATGCGAGACTCACAGGCAGCCAAGGTGAGAGGTGGCCCCAGAGCAGCCCTCAGGGCTGGAGGCCAGTGGGAGGGGAGCCACCAGGGAGGGAAGGTAGGCAAGGCAGTGGGCAAGTGATCCCGTGCCCCTGCTGGCCTCAGGACCTGCTGTACCGCCGACTACGGGCCTTGGCCGACTACGAGAACGCCAACAAGGCTTTGGACAAGGCGCGCACCAGGAACCGGGAGGTGCAGACTGCAGAGAGCCACCAGCAACTGTGCTGCCAGCGCTTTGAACGCCTCTCCGACTCAGCTAAGCAGGGTAAACCCCGTGGCCTGGAGCCCCTGCCACTGGGCTGCCTACCCTGCCAGGGTCTCCACTCCCCTCCCCTCCTCTCCAGAGCTCATGGACTTCAAGTCCCGCCGTGTTTCCTCTTTCCGCAAGAACCTCATTGAGTTGGCAGAGCTGGAGCTCAAACACGCCAAGGTGAGCCCCCCAACCTTAACGGGACCTCTTGCTGCCTCCCTCCCACCCCCAGGCCTCTAGGTTCTTATCACAAGTCTGAGAGTGTGTTTCAGAATCAAGTAGCCAGCAGCAGTCCCAGCTGAGCTTCAGGGCCATGACCTTTTCCTTAGCAACAGTAGAAAGCCCTTGATAAATGGCAGCTGTTACTGCTGAGAACAAGGATAAGGGGAAGGTGGGGACAGTTATCTGAGGCACAAAGAGTAGCAACCTGTCTCAGGGAGCATGGTAACACAGGCGGGAGACATCCAGGACCTCTCTGCTCTGCAGGCTAGCACCATGCTTCTCCGGAACACCCTCGTCACCCTCAAGGGAGAGCCTTAGAGGGGCCAGAGCCTCCTCTGGGACATTTAGTGATGACAGTCCCCCAGACTTCTCACTCCAGCAAGCTGCCTTCCACAGTAGCCACTAGCCCCATCCCCAACCCCACCCCGAGGTGCCAGGCCCTACAAGAGGAAGGTAGGGCAGCATTGGCACCATACTTGGCCACAAGTAAGGAGAGGCCCAACCTAGGGGAGCCCAGGGGCCTTGACCTCCCTCTCTTTGGGGGACTGAGGGACAACCCCCACCCACCGAAAGCTCCAGAGTTGTCCCCATCCTGTTCACAATAAAGAGCCTGGCTTTGTAACAAGGCAGCTTGCTTTGTCCTCACTTCCCACAGTGCCAGGGCCCCCAGGGATGTCCTCTACCATTGCACTATGGAGACCAGATCCTGGGGGGACAAAAGGGGCACCCTACACCAAGGGTCCCCAACTCCCTGGGGTGTGGAGCGGTACCAGTCTGTAGCCTGTTAGGAACCAGGACGCACAGCAGGTGAGCAGCAGGCAAGTAAGCAAAGCTTCATGTGTATTTGCAGGCGCTCCCCAGCGCTAGCATCACCACTTCAGCTCCACCTCACATCAGGCATTAGATTCTCATAGGAGCACGGGTATCTGGTGCCAAAAAAAGTTGGGGACCACTGCACTACAGCATCCTCAAGTCAGCCATCTTCCAGAGTGCCAGCTGACTCTCTATAGGAATGTGGCAAGACGCCGTTCTTGGAACCCAGGAGCCATCTTCAAGGAGTGCCACCACCCACATAAACCTTGGCATGGACTGCACATAAAACTAATCACAAATCTCCTACACCCATTTTCTAAGCAGTAAAATGGAACTACCTCTCCCTGCCAGATACTGGCAAGCTCCAAAAAACTAAGGAACCAACTCTAACCCTAGGCTTTTCAGTTGATTAAAAGAGAAGTATAAATCCTGTATTACCATCCCTAGGGCAAGACTTCTAGGATACCTTTACTCACTGGGCGGGTTAAAGCCCAAGTACAGGACAGAGAAAGCCTGCACCAAAGTTGGCAAAAGGCTTGGGGCTCTGGCCAACACCCTCTTAGTTAAACACAGAAAGGTGGGGCCCAAGACACCTGGGTCTGAAGTCCTGGGCTCTGCCTGGCTGGCCGCACCCTACAGTCCTGCCACATCTGCAAAGGCCAAAGACTCAACTTGGCTACTGACTCACGTCAGCCCTTGGACCCAGCCCTCACAAATGAGTCAGTTATTCAGGGAGGAAAGTGGAGAAATGACCAAACTCGAGGCAACCTGTGACTTACAATCTCACAGCCCACATGTTAGCACGACTGAGCAGGGAATTAGAGAAGGGGCCCCACTGCCCCCAGGATCAAGGCTATAGAAGAAAGCGGCTCAGGCACAAAGCCCCTTTTGCTCAAGGGCACCCTGGTAGACACACCCTGGTTCAGCCACCTCTTAAACAGCCAGCCTAATGCCAACTGCGGTACCACCTGGAGGGTATGCATGCCGTCAAGAGAGGCTGAGCCAGTCACTGAGGCCAGTGAGGGTATAGAAAAGAGAGGCTCATTTTCCCAACCTACTTCCCCCACAAGGTCCCCTGAACCCCAACCCTGAAACAAATATTCTATTAGTGAGCCTTTTTATTGTCTTTTTTTCTTTTTTAATTGAAGGTCATTCCTTACTCGTCCTGTTCCCATAAATGGCCGTGACCAGGTGGAAAAGGGGAAGGGAACCAGGCAGCGTGGGGAGGGGTCATCTCCACAACATTCCATTTATACACAGAACTAAACAGACAAGCACAGAGTCACTAATGCGGTTAGAAGTTGGCAGCACGGGAAAGGGGAGGGATAGGTGGGGAGTTGGGATGTCGTTAAAAAAAATACAGGCCCCCCCAATCTGGGGTTCCTGGGGGGAACTTGGTCTGCTTCAACCCAAGAGGAATCAGAAGATCAAAAGCAGTTTGGGAAGGCCAGAACCGTCAGGGGTGGAGAAAGGAGGGAGGTCCAGGGGGTGGGGGGCAGTTTGGCAACTGGGTGAAGGGACTGCCCTCCCCCTGCTGGGATCCCCCCAGCCCCTCCGGTCTGGCAGGAAGGGGGCAGCCTGCAACCCCCACAGGCAGGTCTGGGGCTGCCATATGCTCCACGCAGGGGGCTGGAGGGGGCTCACAAAGGCTTGCCCTCCAGGGAGATGACGGCACTGCCCCCCAGCTTCTCTGCCAGAGTGCAGCGGTCCTTGACCTCCTCATAGCAGTTTGCTTGTAATTCATGCTTGATCCCTGTGGGGAAAAAGGGAGCATCTGTGAGCAGGAAACATTGGGGTGGTGGCGGGGAGTTGATGGCTGGGAGGGAGCCAATCAGAACAGATGGAAGGAACAAGGTTACCTTCCAAACAGGCCAGGAAGGGGAGGAGTCACCCCGCCCTACAGCCAAGGCCTGAGCAGAAAGGCATGTGGCACTATCAAAGCTGGCCCTTACCTGTCAGCTTCTTCTTGATGGCGTCCTTGGAGCTGGCATAGATCATTTTGCTCTTAAGGGGTGCAGACTCAGGGGCCCTGGAGGGAAACAGAGAACTTACAGCAAAGTCCCCTCCGAGTCTAGCCAGTGCCCTCAAGCAATTGATGACTACGCCACTTGCGCTGGCTCCTAGCATTCAAGCTTTTATCAAGTTCCTCACTGACAAGTGTTTCGTTACAACATTCCCCTCACACCCCAAAGACCACAAAGACCAATGGTTAATCAGGAGCCTGAGTTCTCATCCTAAGAAAGGGGTTGGGGTGGGGCAGAGCTAGGACAGGTGACGACGAACAGGTGCCTGCATGAGGAGCTTACCAAAAGATAAACACCAGGTCCTCCTTCTTGCTCTCCTTGGTCTCATAGGTTGCATCATAGAGGGCATAGCGGCAGTCCTTGTCCGGAAGCATCTTCACAAAGGTGGCGTACGGGTCATCCACAGTCTGGCCCACGTCACCTACCAGGATCTCCTTGCCCTCCTCCAGAATGATGTTCTTCTTGTCCTCACTCAGGCAGAAGAGCACCGCCTTCTTGCGCTTCTTCACCTCTTCTGGTGTCGACGACTTGCGCACCTTCATGTCATTAAACACTTTGATGACTCCATCAGAAACAGCCACACCGGAGGCCTGAGGGACAAGCCACACATACATCTCATAAGGAAAAGGTTTCTGGGACTCTCCCTGTAGTCTCTCTGCTTCCTCGGAAGATGCATCTGGATGCCAACATACTATAGTCCTCAGCCCCAAAAGGTTGTTTATCCCCTTCCCCAAAACAACGTCCTTATTTTCTCACTCAGCCACTTTCAAAAAACTAGATGAGGCACAACCCCAAAATGGCAGCCATAGAAGTGAGACCTCTAATCACCTAATTCAGCACTGTTCCTCTCCACCCCAGCATCTTACAGGCCAAAACTATGAGGAGAACCTTGGCTGAGCCGTGAACCCAGAATTAGAATTCACAGGCAACTGACCCGTTTCCTACTCACTATACTCAATCTCAACTTTTCGATAAAACCATTAACTCGGAACTTCAGATAGACGAAGTGAATCGAAGACCCCCAGGTCACAGTCACCTTATACAAAGAGAACCAGGATCCTACAATGCTAGAGGGGACACCAAAGATGTTCAACAGCTCTAACAAGTTCAACAGAACTGCTCAATGCAATGATTACACGAACTATCTTCTCTGCTGGAGTTTTCCTTCCTTAAGCAAAGCAAGAATTACAACCCCCCAGTTAACCCCGTCCTCTGGAAAAAATTAAGGCCCCGAAGTCGTTGAAACAGGCCAAACTCAAGTGCCCACGGACCTTCAGAGCTCTTTAAACTTCTATTCTGGGTCGTGCTTGGGGACACCCTATTCCAAAAAGTCAGCGACCGTCCACAGTGAAATCTGCCGCGCCCCCTCTCCCGGAACTGCAGAGGAAGCCGGCCACGTGACTCAGCCGCTTCCGGAATATGCGGGGAAGAGCTCCGCCAGGTTCAGCCCCCTCCCCAAGAAAAACCCTTACCCGGGGGCAGGAGCATCTCCAGGGCCTCAACCCCGAAGAATCGCCTTTATTGGCCGGCACAACAGCCACCTCGGCTGCGGGCCGAAGCCCGGGCAAGTTACACAACTTTCGGCTCTCGCAGCCCTCGGGCCGAACCCAGGGGGCGGGGTGATTTCCGGGCGGTGCCCGCCTGGGTCACTTCCCTAAACTCGGCTCCTCCCTCAGGCCCCATCCGGGAAAGCCGACAGCCCCGCTTGTCCAGGGCTTCGGGCCCAGCGGCCAGGCCTGACCGTGTGCGCACGCGCCGGCCGACAGCACGGTCCTAGCCTTTACCCGGCACACAAGGCGGAGAACTCAGATCGCTTTGTGGGCTCGCTCGCTCGCTCCGGGGCAGGGCCATTGCCTCTGAGGGATCCGCTCCTTGTTGCGCGGTGCAAGCCCTTAATCCCAGACGCCCACGCATGCCCCACTAGCGCGCCGCCCCCGCCCCTCCCGGGTGCAGGCATCCCTGCCACCTGCTCTCGAGACAGACCAGCCTGCCGAGGGAGGGTGACGAAGAGACAGGAACAGCCCTTGGGTGGGGCGCGCGCGCGCCGAGACCGCTCGCGCGCTTTTCCTTCGCCGCCCCCGGGCCAGGTTCGGATGCCGCGTGCTCCCGTCGAGCGCGCGCTCTCGTGAACCGACTCGCTTCACCAGCCGCGGCGCGCGCCACCGACAGCTCGGCGAGGAGCGAGCGCGCGCCACGGACCCCTCCCCCACGGCTAGTGTCCGCGCGGGCGCACCAGCGGGATGGGGGAGGGGGAGGGAGACCGGGGGGCGCGCGTGCGACTTCCGAGCGGGCCCTCCCAGGCGCCCGCGTGCGCGCACGCGCGTGCCGGCGCCTCCCGCCCCTCAGCACGAGACCCTCATCGCGCCCCGGGCGCTGGGGGAGGGGATGCGGATGTCGCTCCCTGTTCCCTCCCGCGCGCACAGACATCCGACTCGCAGCTGCCTCCGTTCAGGCACTGTGGCCGGCGCTCACCATGTTTCCGGAAGCAAAAAGGAGATAGCAAAGAGAGCCAGAGAAGAGAAGAGCCGCTGCAGCTGCTGCCGGGATCCGACTGAACGCGGCCTCTCCCGGCCCCTTCCGTTTAGTATGAGCCGCACAATGAGGGGCGGGGCGGGCTTCCGGCGCTCCCACTGCAGGCCGACGGGAAATGAAGTCCAAAGGATCTGCGCCGTCCTCGGGGCTCGCTGGGTAACAGTCTTTTTCGTCCGCTGTCCTCCCAGTGCCACATTGCATACCGGGAAATGTAGTCCGAGACCGCCGAGAGAGGCGGGCATATGGCACGCAGAGCGCGCCCATTGGTCGAATTTCCCAGGAAACGCTCTGTGCTAGGAAAGGCCCCTGTGCTCAGTAATATGAACCGAAAAATAGCCTCTATTTCGGGGCCCTTCACGCGGTTGTGAAACGGTTTCCTTAAGATCCATCTTGGCACTTTCTAGATCCCTTGGTCTGAAGGTTTTGAGTTTATTAGTATTTTGCTTTTCTGAATTGAAGCAACTACCCAGTCCTTGAGCAAGGAAAATTGCATGTATAAGGCGCCTTCAATAATCATTGAGCACCCACCATGTGCAAAGCTACTCGTCTCTTTAGAAAAGGCCATATGCAATTTCAATAAAATAAGAGAAAAACATAAAGGAAAGGCTACAAGGAAATCTTTGAAAAGTTTGTCCTTTTAAATGGCAAATTCACGAGGCAATAAAGACGTGCAGGGGTTTGTGCATTCAATTAAAGGGTTATGTGCCTTTTACTAGACAGTGAAAAGAGGAAATGTGTCTTAAATCGGACTTTAATCCCTCGAGTTTATAACCAGGCATATGGTTAATGCCCGCAAAATTGAGGCTAGCTTCACAAAAAGAAACTAGGTTGGGGGACTTCGGAAGCTTTCATTGGCCTCAAACAATGACTATGGCCTCACTGTGAAGGAATAGGAGACAAGGGTCCCAAACAAGGAATTAGGGCTATTTATTCTATAAACGGAATAAAGGGTGTAATTGAAGAGCTAGAACCCGGTCTTCAAGACCCGGGAGCGCTACCCGGGAGTGGAGTACTTCGCAGAGCACACTGGGGGTTGTAGTCGGGGACATTTCGCCGCACCGCTCGCCCACCGAGCAAGCTACGGGCAGCCCCAGGTGAAGGCGACAGCTCGAACCCCCCGCCTCCCGCTAGCGAACCTGCCAGAAGAGGAAACTGGTCCCACCTTCGAGCTTTGAAGTTTCCAGGAGCAACGAGGAGGGGGAGGGGAATATCGTAGTTACCCTGGAGACGCACTCCCGCCCGCCCCTAGCTGCGGGATGCCCTAGTTGTCCTTATTAGGACAAGACACTAGAGTGGGCGGGACCAACACTAACACTAGCTGGAGGCTCCTTATAAGGCAGCGTCAGGCGGGAGGCGGGAGAACGGAGTAGGCTGGAGGGGCTGGGTCGTAGCTGGGCGGAGTCTGAAGGGGCGGGCCTGGCGCGCCTCGAAGGTCCCCGACTACCACCTCGCGACTTCCGGTATGACTGCTGGTGCTTCTCCAATTCTCAGGCGAGCCCCTTGTGCTCAATTCCTCCATGCGTGACCCTCAACCTAGGACCTCTTCGCAGATTACATCTTAAACCTCCCCGAGGGTCCCCACTTCCAATGAGTAAAACGGCGAAGTGTTCTCCCACCCTTGTCCAGGCTTCTTACCCCAGCCTGCTCACCCAGATCCAACCACGTGCCCATCTCAGCCAGCCCCCGACCTGCCAGGATGTCCAGCACCTCCTACTTGTCCCCCTTCTACTTGTTCTCTGTCCCCCTCCGCCGGTCTTACTAGTTTTGGTCTTCTCTGCACATCCCCGACTTCACACCCCTCCCCCACTGCCCTGCGTCGCCGCCCCCCTTCGCCAGCTCGTAGGGGTCGCCATTTCCTCGGAGGGTCCTTCTGCTCCTTCTGCGTTATCTTGGTGTCCTCATCCCCTGTAACCCGTCCTAAATATCTCTCCTGCAAATATACCTGCACCCGTTTGTCTCCCACCCCCGACCTTTCAGGCTCTTCACGAAAGCCGGTCACTCTTCAGCCTCCTTCGCTGGGCGAAGCTGAAACTGACAGCCTCAGGTTACTTAGTTAAGCACCGCTCCAGCCAGCCCTCCCAGCCACTTGAGGGCGCTGTCCGCCTTTCGCTGGCACAAATGTCCTCTAGAATCTGGGATGGACGGAAGGGGCGGGTCAAGGCTCGGGGAGCCTGGGTTGGGCGCGTCCAAAAGGCTAGTCCTGGCCGGGAGGGCCGAAGGGGCGAAAGTCTTAGAGACTGTCCTCCGCAACAACCACTTAGAGTAGTGCACGGGCGGGGAGGGCAGAGGGAGGCTATCCTCTAGTTAGTGCCCCTCGTGGGACCACGTGATTTAAGAGGTCCCGCCCTCACCCGCCAGAGCCAGGTGTTCGAATCCTCTCTCCAAAACTGGCGGCGTCTCAGTACCGCCGGCGTGAGGCGCCAAAGAACCAGTCCTGGGGCTTATGGCGGCGCCGGTCCGCCTGGGCCGGAAACGCCCGCTGCCGGTTTGCCCCAACCCGCTCTTCGTACGGTGGCTGACCGAGTGGCGAGACGAGGCAGCCAGCAGGGGGCGCCGCACGCAATTCGTGTTTCAGAAGGTGGGTCTCGTCGGTCCTGATGGGGATAGATGCTGGCCGAGCCAGAGGACCCCCCTGACAAGATAGGGTATTTCCTGCCCCCGCCAGGCGCTGCGCTCCCTCCGGCGTTACCCACTGCCCCTGCGCAGCGGCAAAGAAGCTAAGATTCTACGGCACTTCGGAGACGGGCTCTGCCGGATGTTGGATCAGCGGCTGCAGCAGCACGAATCATCCGGCGGTGAGCACTGGGGGCAGCGGTCGGTGGTCCCCTGAGCCTTCCGCAATGCAGCCTCCATAACCACTTGGGGTACCTTAGCTTCAAGCGCCCTATTCCTGTCCAAGTTACTGACTGACCTCGAGCTAGTGGCCGGCTCTCGGAACCTCTCTGTTCTCACTTAACCACCCGAGCTGGCAGCGTCCCAGACCTTCCCAGCTGCTGGATTCGGTAGGGTCCGGGATTGACTCTCTTCTGCTCCAGCAGGCGACCATGCCCCTGGTTCATCTGGAGCCAAGAATCCAGCCCCAGAAAGGTCACCTGCTGAAGTCCAGGACTCTTCCATGCCAGTGAGGAGGGGGCAAGGGGGGTGGCAGGGAAAGTGAGAGCATCAGGAGTAAGATTTTTCTGGTTTGGGAGGCTTTGCAGGCCTGGGTCCAGATCTCCCCACCAGTGATACCTCGCCTTAGGCAAATGACTGACTTCTTCTGATACTTCGTTTTCTTACTTGTAGATGGGTCTCTGGATTGATAATAGTCCATTGAGAGAGTTCATAATCAAGCTATTTAGGGGGCCAAGCCCAGTAAACTGTGGGGGTTGCTGTTACTGAGTCCTGCAGTGGGTGGCAGAACTGAGGCTGGACCAAGGAGATTACACCACCCCACAATTCTCCACCTTCTCATCCCAGCTTTGCAGGTCATCCCATCATCTGTCCTATTTTACAGCTGTGGAAACTGAGAGGCAGCTGCGTGACTTGTCCAGGGCCAAGCGGCCTGTTGAGATAGAACTTGAACCTCAGCCCTGTCATGGATTGAGTCTGCAATGGCTGGCTGGCAGGCTTTTGTTTTCAAAGCCCCTTTGTACCTTTCAGGTTCTGGCCCAGCCTAAGGCGGGAGGCTCTGGCAGTTTCTGGCCAGCTCGGCACTCCGGAGCCCGGGCCATACTGCTCTTGCTCTATAGAGAACACCTGGTGAGTGCCTTGCTACCCCCTGAGTCAGGGGAACTGAGGCAGTGGGGCATGAGGCTCCAGGAGGAGACTGGTCCAGGTACTGCACCTACCTTGGTTACATTTCTGCCTTGGTTACAGAATCCTGGTGGCCACAGCTTCCTAACCAAGGAGGAGCTGCTGCAGAGGTGTGCCCAGAAGCCTTCTGGGGTGAGCCCTGAGGTGGGGAAGGATGTGGCCGCGTGGCTCTGGGTCTGACCTTAAGCCCACGAGAGGCTGCCCTTCTCGGGAGCAAGCTGTGGTGTGGGGCCCAGGGAATTGGACACATAGTAGCACCAGGGGCTATGGGTCTCCTCCCTCTGGACAGGTGGCCCCTGGAAATGCTCGAACCTGGCCAGCCCTCCGCTCCCTCCTCCACAGGAACCTGGTTCTCAGGACACACCAGCCAGCCAGGTGGGGCCGACTGCAGGGGATACAGGAGGCAAGGAGTAGGCGCATACATGATATTCTGAATGGGGTCCACAGTCACCCAGCAATTCCCAGGCCTCATGCTGTTGAGGCTGGGGAAGGGAGGCCTTGCCCTCAGGAGCCAACACTGTTGGAGTACCAAGATCTGAGACTAAGTAGTGGGGGGTGGGGAAGTGCCACAGATTATTGGAGGAGCAGAAGGGCTTTGCTGAGGACATGGTATTTGACACCTCTTAGAATCCGCAGGGTAGAGATGCAGGAAAGGCAGCCCAGAGAGAGGAGAGTTTGAGACGTATTGCAGACCTGAGAAATGGCCCTGGTCAGATCTACCAGACACTGATCTGAGGGGCAGGAACATAGCCCTAGGGAGGTGACAGTGGAAGCCACTGGACTTATTCGTGCAGGCTCGCCAAGGGGGTGGTGAGGCCAGCCTAGCTGGGGACAGGCAGGGGAGCCTGCCAGGTATGAGTGAAGAAGGGGGATCTGTGTTCGTTTCCTCCGCCTGCCAGGTACTCATTGACCTCGGAGGGTCTGGAGCTGGCCCAGAAGCTGGCCGAGTCAGAGGCCCTGAGCTCACTGAATGTGGGCATCGGGCCAGAGGAGCCCTCTGCAGCGGCGCCAGAAGTGCCAGGATTGGTTTCAGCTGAGCTGTGAGGAGTGGGGGGACAGAAAGGGGGGTGCAGAGAAAAGGGGAGCAGGAGTGAGGCCAACGCCCCACCCCTATCTCCATCACCTGCAGCTGAGCTGTGGGTGCCCCACTTCCACTGGGTTTGGAGGGAGACTGCCCTGGCACTGGGGTTCTGGCTTCACACACACCACCCCCTCCTGCCCCCCCTCCAGTGGCGCCAGCGAAGGCAGTGTCCAGCAGCAGCTGCTGGAGCTGAGGCCTGGAGAGTACAGGGTGCTGTTGTGTGTGGACATAGGCGAGACCAAGGGGTGAGTAAGGTGGGCGGAAGTGAGGGAGATGCCAGGGGCAGCACTGGCCTGCCATGACCTATGCCCCTCACTTTGCGATTCCAGGGCAGGGCACAGACCAGAGCTGATCCGCCAGCTGCAGCGGCTGCACGTGGCCCACATGGTGCGCAAGCTGCACGTCGGGGACTTCGTGTGGGTGGCACAAGAGACCAGGCCCAGAGACCCGGGTAAGGGGCATAGACAGGCAGGTGGGTGTGAGGCAGAGCATGGTGGGTGAGGGACGTGAGCCAACAGGATCCTTCTTGGCCTCTTGGCAGCGCGACCTGGGGAACTAGTCCTGGACCACATCGTGGAGCGCAAGCGGATGGATGACTTGTGCAGCAGCATCATTGATGGCCGCTTCCGGGAGCAAAAGGTTCCTTTACTGGCCTCACCACACCCCCTGCTCCCTGCCTGCTCTGGGGGTCAGGAGGAATCCAGGGGCACTTCTGGGTGGCTTCAAGGCAGAGCTCCCACAACTCCAGGCATACCCCATTAGAGCTGCTGCCGGGCAGCCCTGAGATCAGACCTCGTCGGGCCCCTCCAGGGGTACAGCAGGTGTGCAGGGTACCTGTCTGGGCTGTGGAGCATGTTAAAGACTACTGGGGTGTCTAGCCCCTGTAGTCTGATGAAAACAATGCCCAAAGCTCCAGGAGTGGAACCACAGTGGCTGTATCTTGGTCCTGGCTATGGGGCTGACCCCAGAGTCAGGCCGCAATAGGCTGAAGGAGGCTTAAAGAATGGGCATCATTCAAAGATGGAGAATGGGCTTTTCATGCAAGAGTAACAGCACGAACAGAGGTGTGGAGGCCACTCTGAGGTGGAGGCTAGGGAGGGCAAGGAGGTGAATTGGTGGGACCCGGGGTCCCATGACAATGTGTGACATGATGGATGGCCCAGCTTAAGGGCATCCAGGCCTGACCCTCCCCATCCCTGTCTCCACCCCCCTAGTTCCGGCTGAAGCGCTGTGGCCTGGGGCACAGAGTGTACCTGGTGGAGGAGCATGGCTCAGTGCACAACCTCAGCCTTCCTGAGAGCACACTACTGCAGGCTGTCACCAACACTCAGGTGAGCTGGGAGGGCAGGGCTGAGCTGGCAGGGACCCCGTGGTCTGTGGCTCAGGCTAGGAGCCACCTCTCTGTTGGGTTCTCTTTGCCAGGTCATCGATGGCTTCTTTGTGAAGCGTACAGCAGACATTAAAGAGTCAGCTGCCTACCTGGCCCTCTTGACACGGGGCCTGGAGAGACTCTACCAGGTGAGCAGGTGCGCCTTTCTGGCACTGTTCCCTTATTTGGGCCCTGCCTTCCCTAAGGAAGTCAAGGTGAGTGAGATCCCTATTTCTCAGGCTGGCCCACTGAGGCCGAGGATTGGGCAAGGACTGGCTGGGGGCGGTTTTCCCTAGAGCTCTGGCCTGGCCTCAGTCTCTTCTCTCCTTAGGGCCACACGCTATGCAGTCGCCCCTGGGGAACCCCAGGGGACCCTGTATCGGGGTCTGGGCCCTCCCCAAACCCTCTCTGCTCACTCCTCACCTTCAGTGACTTCAACGCTGGAGCCATCAAGAACAAGGTAGTGCATTTGCCCAGCTCCTCCCACGGTCTGGCCACAGACCGCCCCTGACACAGTCCGCCCTGATCCCAGGCCCAGTCCGTGAGGGAGGTCTTTGCCCGGCAGCTGATGCAAGTGCGAGGAGTGAGTGGGGAGAAGGCAGCAGCCCTGGTGGATCGGTACAGCACCCCCGCCAGGTAGGCCTCCACAGAGCCCCTCAGGTCCACTGCACCTGCCTTCCCTACGTGGAATTCAGCTCAACCAGTGCTTTGTCTGGGTCTGGTTCTGTGAAGGCCGTGTAGACCAAGAGATAGACAGGTTCATCTGAACCCTGGGGAGTCCATGGAGGTTGGGTAGTGAAAGAGACAGTGCCACTCAGGACTAAGTAGTATCTCAGGTGTTGGAGGAGCCCGCAGGAGAGAGGGAGACACCCCACCTGGTGCAGCGGAGAAGGCATCCTGGAAGAGGGGGTTGGGCCGTGAAGACTTGGCCAGGAACTTGGAGAACATTTGCAGGAGCACAGAGGGAGGACGAGCGGGATGGAGCAGGACCTCGACTGCTAGCCTCAGACAGGGCGGCAGTGACCCTGACTCCTTTAATCCTTGCTGACCGCTTCCTGCCTGTCTCCCATGACTTTGGCCCAAGTTGCTCAGATGGGCCAGCATTCAGCCATTGTCAGGCCTTAGAAACTCAAACACCCCCCTCCACCTCCAGTCTGCTGGCCGCCTACGATGCCTGTGCCACCCCCAAGGAACAGGAGATGCTGCTGAGCACTGTCAAGTGTGGGCGACTGCAGAGGTGAGGCACGAGACGGCCTCGCGAGAGCGGGTGGCTGGGCCCGAAGTTGCTGTCACCGGGACCTGACTCTCATTAGCCTTTCTTTTCACGCAGGAATCTGGGGCCCGCTCTGAGCAGGACTTTGTCCCAGCTCTACTGCAGCTACAGCCCCCTGACCTGAACTGTGTCACAAGACAGACCCTAACTCTCACCTTCCTTCATTAGCTAGCCTTTTAACCAGAATCTTATGGGCTATAATAAAAATCTACATGTTTGCAGCTTTATGTGTTATGGAAGAAATACCAATCCCCAGGGCTTTGTAAAATATCCAGGCAGGAACTGGGGAGCCCACTGGGCCCAGTGGTTTTTAAACTGAGGACCCTGGGGTTCCCAGGCAGGGCACTGAGACTGGCAGGGAGGCGTTTGCAACTTCGAATCTAGTTTATATCCTCAGGGGGTCCCTGATCAAACAAAATTTCCTTTGATAAAAGGTCCTGTAGCTTGGAAAAGAAAAAGTTTGAAAAGCTTTAACAGCCCAATTGCCTCATTATATGGATTGGAAAACTGAGGCCCAGGGAGCTACTAGGGTTTATCCAAATTGATAGTTTGAGGCCAAGCTCAGGTCGAAACCCAGGGCCTCCTGGCACTGTGCAGAGCGGGCTTTCTCAGGCTCCCTGCAAACCAGCCGAGCCCAGATTCTTGCGAGGGCCTGGAGTTTGCAGCATTATTACCTCCTCCTTTCTCACGGCAGTTCTGATGCCCGTGGTCCATAGACCAATCCCAGCCTTGGGGACACAGCTCCCATCAGTGGGGCTCCCTCGGGCCTGAGCTGACCCTGCTTTAGGTGGACTTGGCTCGCCTCCCACAAGCCTGGCCCTGTCCCCAGTCTGGGGTTCCCTACAGGGTTTCCCACCCACCTCAGCCACCAGGACTCCTTCTTTCTCCCTTTATTGCCTTTCTCTGTCTACCCTTCACAATAGCATCTTTTCTTTTAGCAGAACAGTCATCCCTGAGCCCCAGGCTCCTTGGCTACAGGGACCTCCCCCTCCCTGAGGGCACCCCCCACGCCTCAGAAGGTGTAGGCCCCCACGAAGACGGTGAGTCTCAGTACAGAGCTGGCCCGGTAGCTCATGAGGGAGTTCATGGTTACCATCTCGAGGTCCAGCACATACTCCCGGGGGCCCGTCACAGGCCGGGCGAGGACCAGCATGGCGCTGACATTGTTGATTTGCTGCAGGGCACAACAGGTGGGGGGACATGTAGATTGCATCAACCTATGGGCCAGGACCCTCCCAAGCCTCACCTCCCTGCCCCATGCTTTGCACCGTTCGGGCGTGAAGTGGATAGAGAGCCCGGCCAGGCTGTGACCCCAGGCTCTCGTCTGGCTCCACGGCACTCTTGCCATCTCGTCTTTCCAGTACCCAGGCTCCTGTCCTCAGAAATCTCCCACTGGTGCTCTTCCCACACTTTCCAGCTAGTTCTTTTGTCTAACCAAAGTCAACTGATGATTCAGGGCCAGGCGTGAGGCTTTGGGGACTGGTGGGGCCTTTGGTGGCCTGGAGCAGGCAGATTCCCCTTCTAAGCATTCGATTTCAGAAAGAAAACAAACACTGATACCAGACAGACCCTTGCCCCTCTCACTACGAATCAGACCTGGACTCTCCCTCAGAAAAGCCCCAGCAGCAGAGCTGCACCTCTGACCCCAGGCCCCACCACCAACCCCGGCTGCCTCTCTCTCCAAGGCCCAGCCCCACCTGCCCGCCCTTCTGCGTCCCTGCTCTGTTAACTTGGAAGGCATCTCGTGTCAGTCTCTTGTACTAAGGCCGAAGAAATTGAGGCCAGAAACGGAAACCAGTCGGGGAGACTCAAACCCCAGTGTCTGTGTGAGTGCCTCATCAGAACTGCATTTAACAATCTGTAGTCTGTACCAAGGGAATTAGGAAGGAACACTCCTACCTTTCTACCGAAATTCTGCCTCCTGGGGGCGGGGCTTTGAGAAGAGGCGGGGCATGGTGCCATAAACAATCTCCCACTTAAAGCTTCCTGGAATTCACTTTTGGATTATGCATGTCATTTGAGGGGTGGGGGTAGGGGAAAGCCTTACCCTAATGTAGAAGTCCCCCTGCGAGTTTCCCGCACGGATCTGAAAGGCATTGTAGGCGCCGGGGTAGACAGAGGTCGCTTGGATCTGGAACACGTCCGCCGGCACGCTGCGCTCTGAGGTGATGCTCATGTAGCGGTGCACAATGGACGAGGGCTGCTCCCGGCACAGGGGGTTGGAGGCCGGACAGAGGCAGCGACTAGGGACCCCGAGATGCGGATACAAATGAGGTCCTTGCCCAATCCCCAAATTTGGCCCATCCCCAAAATTAGGAATCTCAAAAGGATTCTCCCACTCCTATAAAGCGTGCATAGTTTAGCCGTGAAAGACTACAACTCACATCAGCCCTCTGGGCACTTACCAGCCCTAATAAATGCCAGCCAGCCCCAGAGCCCTGTGGGAGTTGTAGTTCACGTGGGGGCCTAGCGTCAAGTTGACTCACTTGTCAGACACCTGGACATAGGGCTCCACGCAACGGTTGGTGTCCACACAGCGGTAACCCCCGTAGAAGTTGACACAAGTCTGGGCCTCAGAGCACTGGTGTGCGCCAGACTCACACTCGTCAATGTCTGTCAGGGAAGAGGGGCTGGAACCCAGACGTCAGGCCATCAACCCCTGACACCACCCTGCCCTGGGCAACCTGTACCTTGGCAGAGGCGTGTGGCCAGCAGCTGGTAGCCTTGCGGGCAGTGGCAGGAGAAGCGGCCTGGCTCGTTGACACAGCGGTACTGGCAGAGGTAACTGGAGTAGCTGCACTCATCGATATCTGAGGGAGAGTGGACATGAGGACTCTGGGTCAAGGGCAGTCCTCTCAATTCAGTCCCACAAATGTTTATGGAGGGAGCCCAGCCTCATGTTGGGGGCATGGGACAAGCCATGCAAAGCACAGTAGGGGAACAATTCAAAATTCTGCCCAAACCACCCAGCTCACAGACCTCTCTCTTTGCCCCAGAACTGTAAGAAAACAAAATGAAAGCACTGGGAACCTAGAGGCTTGGCTTTACATCTTACTGACTTGAGTTTTGGAAACCTCAATTTCTCTGTCAATAAAATGAGTGGTTTACACTAGCTGAGGCTTCTGGGCCCAGTCTGCTCTGCTTTTCAGTAACTTGCCCAATTCCTGCAACCCATGATCAGCCCAGGCACAGTTGCCTCCTGCCAACTGTGAACTGCACAGCAGGAGCCAGGTTTTCTACTCTGGTTTCCCTCATGCTGCCTACCACTGAGCCAGGTTCCAGCGGGGCCTTAGCAGCAGAGCATCACATAAACAGGGTACGTGGCCACTTGACATGGAATGAGAACGTTGGGATGGAGCCCTGGCCCCATCTCACCCTAGCTGTGAGACCTTGGGCAAGTCACTTAACCTTACTTCATTAAAGAACTTTATGCTTACTATTTTCTTATAATCCTCCCCATAAACCTTGAAGGAGATGTTAATGTCCTCATTTTGCAATCATACTTCATAGGATTGTTGGCAGGACTAAATGAGGCCAAGTACGTAAGGGAAGTGTCTGCACAGGGCAGGTTCTGGATATATAGTATTTACTTCAAGTGTTATCGCTTGGGACTTGACAAAGACTGTCTGTTGTCATTTTCCCACTTAATCCTCAAGACAGTCCCTTTTACAGATGAATAAATGGGTTTAGAGAGAAGAATGATTTGCCTTAATCCAGGATTCAGATACAGGTCAGCCTGACTCCCGGGCAGGGGGCACCCACATCCTTGCTCAGTCTCCTCACTGAGCTTCAGAGGGAACCTAACTGCTCCCTTCTGTGCCTTCCCCACCAGGCCAGGAGTTCTGCAACCAGCTGGGGGTGGACTACATGGGAGGTACATGGGCACAGAATGGACAAGACATGGAGGCATCAAATGCAGGACCGTGTGGCAGGAGACACAAGCCCTGGGACCAATGGAGGAACTCTTGGCAGGGGTGGAGCTCTCACCACTGCAGGAGAAGCCATCCCGGTGCAGCTCGTAGCCCTGATGGCAGCGACACAGGAAGGTCCCATAGGAGTTGAAGCAGCGCTGCTCGCATGGAGCCCCCATGTCACATTCATTCACATCTGGGGGTGCCAGGAAAAACAGGAGTGAAAGCCAAGGAACAGCCCAGAGCCACTATTTCACCCATTCCCCTGGACTGGTCAGGAAGGGAGCTCCCCAGCCCACACCACCCTGCCCAGGACCCAGGAGCCTGGCCCGGCCCAGCCTCACCTACACAGGAGCGGTTGTTGGGCCCCAGCTGGAAGCCAGGCTCACACTGGCAGCGAAAGGAGCCGGGCAGATTCACGCAGCGGTGCTGGCAGTAGCGGTAGCGGCACTCGTCTATATCTGGGATGGAGGCAGGAGAAGGAGGGCAGGAGGCGGAAGTCAGGTGGGGCCCAAGCTGGGTAAGACTCAAGGCCTCCCCACTCAGTCTTGTCTGTGTCTGGGGGCTGGGCCAGGTCAGCCAGGGTCCATACGTACACCTAAAGTTCTATGTCTGGTGGCAGGGGCCTGGAGGTGAAGCTGGGGGGTGAGTTGGAATGCGGTTCAGGTGCTAGGGTGAGAGCCAGGCCAGGGGCACAGAATAGGGACTGGAGAGGCCGCTCCTAGACTCACCCACACATTCAGGCCCAATCTTGCGGTAGCCATCGGGGCAGGTGCACTGGTAGGAACCAGGCAGGTTGTGGCACTGCTGGCTGGGGCGGCAGTCATGCAGGGCCTGGGCACACTCGTCCACATCTGCAGGAGACAGCACGCAGTCCGTGCCTGGGAGCTCATGCACCACCCCACCCGACACCTCAGTGTTGGAGGACACAGGGCAGGAACCACTCACATGAGTGTGTGGGTAATGCACCCCCAAAACAGGAACACGTGGATTAGACCTTCCCAGCAGCACAAATGACAGTCTATCAGCCTGGGAGCCAATGGGAAAATCACCCCTAACCTGTGGGACCCCTTGCTGGGGAAGCACGGGAATCAAGGTCCAAACCATACGCCTTGGAGCACTGATTCCAGAGCCCTCCTCCAAGATCCATGGTACCCAGACATGGATCAGGGAGTGGGCAGGGGCAGAGGCTGAGAGGCAGACTCTTACAGCGTGTCTGCCACAATAGAGGGGAGGGTCCCAGAGGCTGGCTGGGGCAGTGGGACAAGGACCGGGGCCCCACACAAAGTGAGGGTCTGGATGTTACCCCAGCAGCCTAGAGGAGGCTTCTGAGCAAGGGAGGAACATGAGGTCTGAGTTTTTAAGATGCAATGATAAGACGCTTGGAAGGACCGAAACCCTTGGCTCCAGGGTGACCCCTCACTCACCCACACAGCTCTCTTGCTCATCAGGCTCATAGCCTGGTGGGCAGGGGTTGGGGTGTTGAGCAGGGGGCACTGGTGGTGGTGGTCCCTCGCCATGCAGGTCATTGATGACGGCAGCCGAGCGGGGCAGGCACAAGTAGCCCCCGTAGTGATTGATGCATTTCATTTCCCCTTTGCAGGCCTCGGGGATGGTCAGGCACTCGTTGACATCTGCAGAGAGGGGCCTGCTGGGCACAGCCAGTCTCCTGGGCTGGCTATGGAGGGGGTGGGAGGCAGGAGCCCAGCTCGGCCTTCTTTAAGCTGTGCGACCATGGCAGGGCCTACCCTCTCAACAAGCTAAGGCTGTCTGCCCAGGACCCCTCCCAAGGGCCTGCCAGGGCTGGTGGTGGGGTGGCTGTTCCTATAGTCACCCCATTCTCTTGCCCCCAAGAGAGTCTCTATCCTTCCCCAAAACTTTCCTTACCCACCCCCAAAGACACTGCCCCCTCCTGGGACCTCGATGGGACAGAGCTGGGTCGGAGAGTGCTCCTCCTGGCAGTGCCCTGTTGCTCTCCTGCCTACTGAGAGGTGGGGGCAGGGTGTCTTGGGTTTCTCCTGAGAGGGAGGGACCTGGATGGCTTCTCCACCCCTAGGCAAGCTGGCCCGCAGAAAACCATATCTGGCCTCGGCAAAATGGAGCTGGGCAGAGGACAGGCCCCTCGGCTCCTGCTGCAGCTCTTGGAGCTGGGGTTACAATCCCCTTCCCCATTCCTGGGGTGGGTCAGTTCCCCAGGCACACTCACCCCGGCAGTGCTGGCTGTCGGGGTCCCACTCATAGCCATCTGTGCATTCCTACAAGGGGACCAGCAGTGGCCAGTGTTCACCCCTTGTCCCCTCCAACTGACCAGGCCAAGACTAGGGCCCTGAGCCTGCCCACCCTCCCGGGACTGCTCCAAACAATGGCCCCAGCTGCTCCACCAACCAGGGGAGGGGAGAATCTTCCCCAGCAGCAGCCACCCCAGGATCCTGCTCTCTGTGTCCCTGCCCATCCCATCCCAGGCCAGTGGCCCCACGGTCCCCACCGTGTAGCTGTCGGGCTCCTCCGAATCCTGGGGAGACGCTGCCCCCAAGAGCAACAGCAGCAGCGCCCAGAGCAGTAGAGACCCGGGGAGGCAGGAGGCGAAGGGGAGCATCCTGGGGCTGGGAGGTGGTTGGCAGGGGTCAGGGCGCCTCTGCCACGGCAGCCCCATTCCCTGTACCAGGACTCAGAGCCCTGACCCCAGCCGCCTCCCACTTGGGACCGCATTTGAAGCCCCGGAGCCTTCCAAGGCGGAGGGCCGACTCCTCACACAGGCCGGGGTTGGGGGCCCACCCGCCTGGGGCCGCCCCGCCCCCGCCTGGTCCCCCAGTGGCGGGGGCAGAGGAGCGCAGGCCTCTCTTGGCTCCTCGCTGACGCCTACTCGGCCGAGACTCCGGCTCCCGCCCTCCCTCCATGGACCGCTACTCACTTGGGCCCGCGACGCCCCCGCGGCCCACGGCTCCGGCTGCTCGGCTGGCTCGGGTAGTGCCTGCGGACAGGCGGACGGACAGAGG